TATATATATATGATTTCATGATAAATACTGAATAATCAGTAATGTAATTTATTTAATTTATTTTAGATGTAATTATATACTATGTATAACTTGAATTATACACCAACAACTTTGGGGTACAAAGTTGAAGAGAAATTATATCTGGGGGGTACGCGAACAAAAACGGTTTAATACCACTGATGTAGAGCATTTCTAATATCCTGTGTTTTGTGTTGAGGAAAAAATTTGAGGGCTGATAATTTTTAATTTATTGAACATCATCTCACATTCCTGTTTGAACTACATGTTAAAACAAAAATTAGGGGCCCCACCACACACACACACATGCAAATAAGGTACATGTGCAGTATGTCCCCAAAATATTTATGGATGCATTGGTCCAATAGGAAATTTTGAATACGCAGAAATTTTTCATAAATACCTTGCTATAGGTATGACAATGAATGTAAGCTAATGGCATTGGCCTTCAATTCTAGGGCAAGAGCGATTTGGAAATATGACTCGTGTATATTATAAGGAAGCAGTTGGAGCGTTCGTTGTTTTTGATGTAACAAGAGCCGCTACATTTGATGCAGTTGTCAAGTGGAAGCAGGATTTAGATGCCAAGGTTCAGCTACCAGATGGCACCTCCATACCATGTGTTCTGCTAGCGAACAAGGTAATCTTTCATCACTAAATGTAGAAGACTTAGTCTCCAACAGATGCTGACTTAACATTTTGAGAAAATGTTTGTCCCCATCTGTTTTAACCTGGAGTAGTTCAGATTTGTATGTTATGCAAATGCTGCACACAAAATCTTTCTTTCTGAGTTTACAGTGCTCCACAATGAGGAGTGTTGATGGCAGTCTCCTGGGTTGTGACACCACGTGGTCTTGGTTTCAAAACCCAGAAGACCGCCATTAACATTTTCACTGTCATGAGAACTCTAAATCTTGGATACAAAGACAAGTGACTGCTTTTCACTTCTGTACTGTAAAAATTAGTTTATCTGTGCATACTTTGACTTCTAGTGTGACCAGCAGAAGGAAGGAATTGTAAACAGTCCTTCTAAGATGGATGAATATTGCAAGGACTGGGGTTTCACCGCTTGGTTCGAGACCTCTGCAAAAGAGAACATCAATATTGAAGATGCTGCTAGGTCCTTAGTAACAAGGGTGAGTTACTTTTAAGAAAACTTTGTAAATACAGTGGAGTCCCGATTATCTGATCTTAAGTTATATGGCATTCCATTTTATCTGATGTGCTGCTAGAATGCTCCATTTTATCAACAGTCAACTCAGCACGTAGCGAAATGAATCGCACTCCCCTCCATTCACCTACAATTTATGTAGTCACTTGCTACAGACATAATTCCATTCAGGTACTGGTATTTCTTTGCCATAAAGGAAAGGAATACCTATTAATAATCTTTTTAAAAAACAAAACAACAACAATAACTTCAATTTACATATTTATATTATGTTAAGTAGGATTTGAGGTTTTCATGGTGGTGAGTCTGAAGATGGCTGCCTTCATCATCCTGATGATGGAGGCAGTAAGGACCTCTGAAATGGTGGTGAACTCCTATCAGACTACATGGTGCTAGAACCCAGTAGACAGCCATTATGTTGAATATTACTTTCATTTGTGAGATTTTTCATTTTGTTATATTTTATTTTTTCATGATTTAATGTTTTTAAACTGAGTTGATATTAACTCTCATCTCTTTCATTAGTCTGCCATATTATCTGACATATTTTATCTAGTCATCATTTAGTCTCATTTAGGTCAGATAATCAGGACTGTACTTAGTTCTTATTTTAAGTTTAAAGAATTGAGAAAATACACTGGCATTGTTCAACAATTCAAGAATTAGCATATATGTTGATCGTCTTTCTGTTCCTG